GGAGGAGGGAGGAGGTCAGAGGGAGGGAGGAGGGAGGAGGGAGGAGAAGGGAGGAGGGAGGAGGGAGGGAGGGAGGGAGGAGAGAGGGGGACGAGAGCAGGAGGGATCACGAGAGGGAGGGGGTGGGAGGCAGGATCGAGGTTGATCCAGGGGAGAAAAATGAGGTGGAGGGAGAGGAGGGAGGGTGAGATAGGAGCTGAGCAGGGAGGAGGACGGAGAAGCAGGAGGAAGAAGCATAAGGAGGGAGGGAGATGGGGGAGGCAAAATAATGAGGGAGGACGAGGAGGGCGAGGGGGAGAAGAGAAGACCAGGGAGAGACAGGGAGGAGGAGTGGCCAGAAGCATGATTAGATCCAGAGATGAAGGATAAGGATGAGCAACAGTAGCGTGAACAATGTGTGTAAACATCTCGGCACCTACACGGCGGAATCGAAGGCCCCGGTAAGTTCGGGCAGTGCGGGATTGAAGATGACACGCGCATCTTGCGACCTCGGCGGTGGCAAAGGTCCTAAGGAAAGGGCGATCGGGCGGCGCTGCGCCGGCCAGTTACTGTTACCCACGCCCCTTTAGCACGCATGTGCGCTATATAGCCGTGGCTGCAAATGGTTGCGGCCTGCATTGCAAACGAACACGTCCCAATCAGAAGTCTCGACCCAAGTACAGGGTCGGCAGGAACATGGCTCTGGTGTGGCCCAGGAGCGCCCCAATGACGCTCAAAAGAAGCCCAAGCTACTTGAACGCAGGCTTCCTAGAACGGCGAGGCCGCCCTCCAAGCTCCATCGAAGAACTACTGGGCACGTTCACCCACCTACCTCCAAAAAACAAGAACAACCGACATAAATATAAACTTCCGGAGGTCCGGGCGAATTTCTTGGATCGGCGCTGGATCACCCTCCCTGGCGGCGCCTCCGGCGCCAAGGGCGGCGCCGAGGGGGGTCAGGTTGTGACGAAGAGCGCAGTCAGCAACAAGTGGCCGTGGTCGAGGCCCTCCTGACCTAGTGGGTGGTCTCTTCTGGCTGGCTGTGATGTGCTGGAGCGGCGTTCCTCTGCAATATTACTTTACGGTCAGGAACTTTTGTTTAGCGTGTCACGGCGGCGGCCCCGGCGATACTTTCTGCCCTGCGAGCAGATAGGGTGTCGCTCCGCCCCGCGGGGCGGAAGGCTCTGAAAGGCTCGGGATGTTGATGCTTGGGGACTGGGACGCGGATAGCATGTCGCGCCGAATCGTGGTGGGCAACAACCAGCGGCACGACACGCTGTAAGCCGAAGTTACCGACCGTACCTTGATGCACGTTGTTATTATTCGAGTCTGCCCCCCCCTCCCCCCTCTAGAGGCCTCCCAACTTGGGACCGAGCAGATGGGGTCGGAGGAGGGTCGCGCCGCATCGCCGATGCATTGGCGATGCATCTCGACGGCGGCGATGCATGGGTGACGCCGACATGTAGGACATCTGACTCCACGTCGGGCCGCGTCGCCGGTGCATCGGCGACGCGGAGCGATCCTTCCACCCCATCTCCTCGGACCCCATTTGGGAGGCCTTCCCCTCTCCCTCCCCGCCCCCCGCCCCACAATTCTTCCGCCTCCGCGACGCCCGCGCAGTCTGGGGGGGCGCGGCTCCTAACGGCGGCGGGGCGGGCAACGGCCGGGCGCCTCAGGCGCCGCCGCCGCCCTGGCCCGGCTCGGCGCTGAGGTGGGGTACGGGCCCGGCTGCTCCCCGTGCCGTCGTCATACTCCTCCTCCTCCTCCTCCTCCTCCTCCTCCTCCTCCTCCTCCTCCTCCTCCTCCTCCACGTCCTCGTGCTCCTCACCACCCAAATCCATCTCCTCCTCATCCCCCGCCCGCCTCCGCCTCCTCTCTCTTCCTCCCTTCCCCCTCATCCCTCCCTCTCTCCCCTCCCCCGCCTGCCCCAGTCTCTCCCTTTCCCTCATCCTCCTCCTTCTCCTCTTCCTCCTCCTCCTCCTCCTCCTCCTCCTCCTCCTCCTCCAATCCTGTTCCTTTGAAAGAACTTCTCCCTCTCGCACCCCGAGGCCAGTTTTCAGGGCGGGCCGGGCGTTTCGCCTGAGACTGCCCCACGATGTATGACTCCGAAACTTGAAATCTGGCAAAAGCTTCACAGATGGAGGACGGGTGGTTTTCAAAATGTGGCTCTCGCCTTGGCGCCGCCCACATTCGTTCTAAACATTTGCAAGGGCTTCACGGATTGAGGGCGGATCGTTTAAAAAATGTGGCTCTCGCCTGAGCGCCGCGCACAATCGTTCTAAACATTTGCAAAAGCTTCACGGATTGAGGGCGGATCGTTTTTAAAACGTGGCTCTCGCCTGAGCGCCGCGCACAATCGTTCTAAACATTTGCAAGAGCTTCACGGATTGAGGACGGGTCGTTTTCAAAATGTGACTCTCGCCTGAGCGTTGCGCACAATTGTTCTAAACATTTGCAAGAGCTTCACGGATTGAGGGCGGACCGTTTTCAAAACGTGGCTCTCGCCTCAGCGCCGTGCACATTCGTTTTAAATATTCGGAAACGTTCCAAGGATTCCCAGGATCAGCGTACCAGAAATAGAGTTCTGGAAAGATTCACGATTATGCGGGTGCAACACTTATGTGGGTTGGCGGTGTTGAAGTCCCCAAATTGGCATCTGGCACGGGCACGATTCCAGATCGTCAGGACGCAGCAGTCAGGATGATCCGTGGCGTGAAAATCCCGAGAACAACGTTCTGGCATGATTCGAGGCTTTCAAACAGATGTCTTCCAACGAGGCAGTTCCCTCAATGGACATGAACCATTGTAGGGGCCTGTGAATAGGGAGCTTGGAGGGAGTGTGAATTCCAACATCGTTGATGACTCTTGGGTTTACACTGGTCCTCCTCCTCCTCCTCCTCCTCCTCCTGCTGACCTTCACCGCCACCCTCCCCCAAGTGTTCCCCGAAGGGTTTCCACGTTGGTTGGGGGAACACATGTTCGGACAGATTGGCAGAGCTCTTGCCAATCTATCGGACCATGTGACCTCGGGGATTGGAGCGTTTGGAATATAAGCTGAACTGCACGCGGGCAGTGACGAGCGATCTACCCTTGGGTCCGGCATGTCCCCCTACAGGCTGATTTTTACGAACAATAAAAAAACACGCAAAATAATCCGCCGGCCCCCTTGTGGGGTCACCAGGCTGTAGGCCTAGGGTTCGCAGTTTCCTGTACCAGTTGCAGCTTCCAGTTTCCACTGTTACAGTTCTGCTTCTTGCTGCTTACTGTTCCTTGTTGACTTCTTGCTGCTTACTGTTCCTTGTTGATGGACCGCGCGAGGGGGGGAGGCCCACAACGGGCATTTGACCACGCCCTGAGCGTGTTGTCTGAATTGCTGGGGTGGGTAAAAATTGACACCTCTCACGCGGATCGGCGGGGTCAGGGTCCAAAAACACATGGGATTTGCCACATTTCTGAAACTCGGTCGCACCCCTCACGCGGATCGGCGGGGTCAGGGTCCAAAAACACATAGGATTTGCCACACTTCTGCAATTTGCTGGCACCCATCACGCGGATCGGCGGGGTCAGGGCCCATACACACATGGGATTTCCCGCATTTCTAAAATTCGGCGGCACCCCTCACGCAGATCCGGCAGGGTCAGGGTCCAAAAACGCAGGGGATTTGCCACATTTCTGAAATTCGGCGGCACCCCTCACGCAGATCGGCGGGGTCAGGGTCCAACAACACAAAGGATTCGCAACATTTCTAAAATTCGGTGGCACCCGTGACGCAGATCCGTAGGGTCAGGGTCGAAAAACAAATCCCGTCACTGCTTCACGGCGGCGCCCAGACCTCATGATTTAGCTTTCGCATCTCCCATTATCCGTGACAGGGGGCCAGCGGCATGGGGCGAAGCTCTTACGGATATTCAAAAAATTGTCCAGATAATGACACATAAAATCGTCCCCTCCTGTAGAGGGACAGGCCCGACTTAAAATTGCCCTGCCAGCACGCTCTTCGGCCGCCTCGGCCGTGCGAGCACGCTCTTCGGCCGCCTCGGCCGTGCGCGGACACCTGGCCCCATGCACTGCCCGCTGGCCTCGGGGACCCTGGCGGGCGGTCCCGCGCGAGCCCGCGACGCGGGCCCTCCTCGACTCGACCCCCGCCTGGAACGGAGGGCCGACCCCAGCACACCCCGCGCCAGCAGCAGGGCAGAGCGCCCGATGGAGACCGTTGTTCTCGAATCGGCGATCTCCCGGGTTATCCGGGCGGGGGGGAGAGGGGGGGGGGAGAGAGGGCCGGCCGATAACCTGACCTTCGCGCTGTGGGCAGCCCTGCGGGCCCATGCCCGCGCCCCCCCACCCCGGACCTGCACAACCGGCAAGGGTCGGTTATCCCGCGGGGGGGAGAGGGGCAAGCCCGATAACCCCGGTTATCGCCGGACCCTGGCAAAAACAGTCTCATGGAGGGCGCGGCTCCCAGAGGAAGAGCACAGGACATAACGAAAGCTCTCTCCGAAGTCCGCGCGGATCTCTTGGATCCGTGCTGGGCCCCCCGGCGGCGCTGCCAGCGCCGCCGTCGTGCGCGCCCCGCGCCCCCGCGTCCCAGGGAGGGGGCCCAGCGCCGACCCAGCAAGTCCGCGCGGCCCTCCGAGAAATGATTTTCATTAGAAGGCAGAAAATCCACCCCGATATGAGCCACCCCGACACGCGAAGCTTTTTAGTAAACGTACCCAAACAAAGCATCAAACAGGGCAGGGCTGTTTAGGTAACGTGCAGGGCAGTTTAGCAAGCGCCATTTGTCCGGGTCCGGGTGGTGTTTCCTCCCTTCCTCTCTACTCTAGGAGGCTTCCTCCCTTCCTCTCTACTCTAAGAGGCTTCCTCCCTTCCTCTCTACTCTATTCCTATTTAGCTAACGCCAATCGTCCGGTCCAGTCCGGTCCGGGTGACTGTTTCCTCCCTTCATTCACGGCGCAGTGCCATTTTGTGCTCTTCGAGCTCCGAAGTCGGAGGGGGGCGCTCGCAGGGGCCGCCTCTAGGCTCTAGGCGTCGCCGGCGCCGGGCGCTGGCTCGGCGTTGCGCCCCCAGCGCTTGAAGTGCGCCATGAGGTCCTCGCCCTGCGTGGTGGGCGGGTACTTCGCAGCCTCGCCCTCCTGCATGCAGCTCTCGATGCACTGGACCCTGGCGTCGCTGTTCAGTATCTGGAAGTAGGGCATGGAGATGCGAGGGACGTTGAGTGCCGCGTCGTCGAGCGCGGGGCACGTGACGCGGTGCGGGGTCGACAGCCAGCGCTCGTTCGTCCAGCGCATGAAGAGGTCCCCTAGATTGATGATGGGCAGGGCGGCGAAAACCACACTGACAGTCGATGGTCGGAGGCCTCCCTCTCCCCCCTCCCTCCTGCTCCTCTCCTGTGGTGGCCAGGGGGGAGCAAGCCTGACTATCACGGTGATTTCTGGCGCCATGATATGAACCCGTCCTGCGGGCATTCCACCTCCATCCAGTCGCTGTCTCCGCGCGGGAGCACCTCCAGCCCTCCGTGGACGTCCTGCCACAGGATCGTCATGGTGCAGATGTCGGAGTGTGCCCCGCACCGCAGCTGCCCCGGGGCCGGCTCCGCCTCGAGCCGAGGGTAGCTGATCACGCGCAGTGAGGACGCGTGGTGCGTCACCTTGGACAAAAAAAAATTCGCATCCATGGCACGGCTTGGGGCTTAGCACAGACATCCCGCCCCAGGCGACGCAGAGCGTCCCCCATCGGGGCGCCGGCGGCGGCGGCGACGGGGTGTTGAGACCGCCTCGGCCTCGTGTGACAGTCGAGGCCAGCCTGGTGTGATGCAGGACCACGGTTGTGAAAAATCACGGGGGGCACGAGCAACAGCATATTTGTTTTGCCGCTGGGGGAAAACTGAAGATGACAACGATCACGACATCCCAACGACGACGACGACGATGCCCACGCGCAAGTCTGGAACCCTACTTCTTAGCCATCGCCAAGGGCGCTGCTGAATGCTGGGTGCCTCCATGGGGGCTGCCTGTGCGCAACCCTGAGCCGTGCCAGCATCCACGCGAAGCGCGAGGGCGAAGATGCGCAGCATGCCGTCTGCCAGCTTGCCAGCCTCGAGGTAGTACCGCGACATGGCCGCCTCCAGGCGCCCGTCGGGCGGCCACGGCGTCCTCTGGTAGCAGAAGTTGACGACGGGCGAACGCTCCAGCGACGCCGGCGGCTCGCCCTGGGGCCCCATGGAGAATGCCTGCAGTCACGGGGGGAAGGGGTCGGGGTCTACCAAAGGGGGGGGACCTGAGGGGGGGGAGTTCGATCCGCTGGTGCATCGAATTTCTGAAGAACGATGCCCCCCTCGCATCCTTAGTGTCGACGCCTCTCGGGATCTGGCGGCGGCCGGAGACCTCGTGTTACATCGTTTTTCTTTCTGCGGTTCGATGCGCCAGCGGACCGAAGTCCCCCCCCCCCGTGCCCCCCCTTTCGTTCGGCCCGAAGAGGAGCAGAGGAGGAGGAGAGGAGGAGGAAGAGGAGAGCGGGAGGAGGAGGGAGGAGGAGGGGGAGAGGAGGAGGAGGAGGAGAGGAGGAGGAGGAGGAGGAGGAGGAGGAGGAGAAGGAGGATGCGAATAGAGGGGAAGAAATCCAGACCTCCGACCCTGTGATTCTTACAGCCGCGGCGTCGTCCCCTCCGCTTCGAGTGCCGGGGGGCGCTTGCCCGTGGACCACCACAGATGACTCTGGGACGGGTCGGGAGCTCTGGGGCCTCACCTCGGGAAAGCATATGTCGGAGGCTGTCGGACGACGGAGGCTGTTGGCGAAGAGGCGCAGCGTGCGGAATGGCGCTGCGCCTCCTCCCCCTCCTCCTCCTCCTCCTCCTGCGCCTCCTCCTCCTCCTCCTCCTCCTCCTCCTCCTCATCCTCCTCCTCCTCCCCCTCCTCCTCCTCCTCACGCTGGCCAGGCGGAGCGGGAGGAGGGGCGAGGCCTCACGTATGTCGGGCCGGCTCGCGACGTCGGCGTTATACCCCAGGGCCTCGGAGTTCATCGGGAAGAAACCTGGCTGGCATGAAAGAGAAGGGCAAACAGCCTCGAACTCATTCCAGTCCTTCAGACTGACAGCCCGAAGGCGACGATAATCTCAGGGATGCGCCTTCAGGAACAGAGCGAACCCTCACGATCGGCACGGTGCTGAGGTGATGCCAGTCGTGAGGATGGGGATCTCTCGCCGCGCCGTTTGTTCTGAACGCGCCCCAGCGGGCGACGCAGACACCACTTGAGGGCAGAAAGTCCACCCCGATAATAGCCACCCCGACACGCGAAGCCGTTTAGTAAACGCACCCAAAGAAGGATTCAGACGGGGCAGGGCTGTTTAGTAGACGCCCAGGGCCGCTTCGTAAACGCCGATTGTCGGGTCCGGGTGATGTTTTCCTCCCCTGCGCACCACGGCCAACCCACGGCACACCCCGCGCCCCGCACCCGAGCAGGCGATGCGCTGCGGCAAACCCCACCGAGAGAGCACCACGCCCGCGGCGGCGCCTGCCCCGGGTGCCCGCGGCGCTCCCCCCGAGACGCAAGAGCCCGCGCGTCGGAACACACGGCGCGGGGCGGCACACGCGAGAGGGGATCCTGGAGGCGGCGGGTCCTGGGCCCCAGCCAAGGCTTGCCCCGGGGGCCAAGTCCCTCACCCGAGGCCGCTCTCTGGCGATCTCGGGGCCGCTTTCAGAACCCCACTCGGTAAAACGCGCTTCAGTGAAACGACCTCGGGCCCAAACCTGGCGGGCGCAAGCCTGGAAGGTGAGGGCCGCGGCGCCCTCTCGAGAACCGAAGACGGACAGGTCACTAATCGACGTGTTGGGGTGGGAGTTCTGTCTACCCCCGACGATCCTGGGGCTCGGGAGGTGCCCCTGGAGCCCGCGGGCGGCGAACAAAAACCCTCCAGGTCGCCTTGCCTTCAGGAGCCCCTCTTCTTGGCGGCGCGCAGGAGGGGGGCACTCGCCATCGCTCGGACGTCCATTTTTTGTGTTATTTTCGGTTTCGTGCGTGTTTTTTTCGCCAAATGGTCAAGGATGTTCCTCGATGGCCCTCGCCGAAGGAAAAATGCACACGTCCGAGCGATGCCAAGGGCAGGGGGAGGGGGGAAGGCTTCTTCGTAGCAGGCGCCGGCCCTGCATCTGTAGACAAGGCCCGCGCCTTCTAAGAGGCAGAGTGCTTCTGAGAAGCCTTCCCCCCTTCCCCCATGCTCCCCTCCGAGCGTGGCTG